ACACACACACAGACAGACGTATGAGCACATCTGAAGAACACACACACAAACAGAGAGAGAGAGAGAGGTGAAGAAGACACACACAGGCTGGTATTGGTGGTTTATGAGGACTCTCCACAGGTGTAATGTATTTTATACAGTAAAAACACTGATTATAACATCTGTGTCCTCATAAACCACTAAAACCAACAGATACACACACACACAGTCAGGGCCTGAGCTGAGCGATACAGATGCCGGAGAGCCGCTGTGAGCTCTGAATGGTCTCAGAGAGCAGAGAAGGGCACTGTAATAGATCTGTAATGAGCACTTTCTGTATTGTGTGTTGTGTTTATTTGCAATATAATAAGTCATATCTAGAGGAATAAGTGTGTAGGATAAGAGTGAATGTGCTGCAGGTACAAGGGTTGAAGGCCGTTAAATTACGGAGATTTACCGTAAAATAACGGACATTAAATTACAGAGATTTACTGTAAAATAACGGACATTAAACTACAGAGATTTACTGTAAAATAACAGATATTAAACTACATAGATTTACCGTAAAATAACGGACATTAAATTACAGAGATTTACTGTAAAATAACAGACATTAAATTACAGAGATTTACTGTAAAATAACGGACATTAAATTATAGAAATTAATCGTAAAAAAACGGGCAATAAATTACAAAAACTTACTGTAAAATAATGAACAATAAACTACAGAGATTTACCGTAAAATAACGGACATTAAACTACAGAAATTAACTGTAAAATAGCGGACATTGAATTATAGAAATTAACTGTAAAATAGCGGACATTGAATTATAGAAATTAACTGTAAAATAGCGGACATTGAATTATAGAAATTAACTGTAAAATAACGGACATTAAACTACAGAAATTTACTGTAAAATAACGGACATTAAACTACAGAGATTTACCGTAAAATAGTGGACATTGAATTATAGAAATTAACTGTAAAATAACGGACATTAAACTACAGTCCCACACCAGTCCAGACCACCACAGAAGAAGCTAAGGAGGTCCACAGTGGCTCAGAATAACAGATTCAGTGCTGTTAGTGACTCTAGATGAGAGGGAATGTACGGTGGCTGAGAGAGCTCAAACGGCCCTTTATTAATTAGACACAACAGATGTCCTTTCGGCTGCAACCCATTACTGGCAAACACCCATACACATTCATTGACACACACACTCATACACTAGCCGAGACTCAAACCAGAGACCTTCTTGCTGTGAGGCGATCGTGCTGCCCACTGCGCCACTATATGTGATTGTGATCACTCCGCTCCAGCAGTGAACATGTTTGGGATGTTTTAGATGTTTTTAGGAGCTGAAATCAAGTCAGTTTCCTGCAAACCTCCCGCACGGGTTTAGGAGAGGCTGTCTACTTTACAGATATTGTCCAAAGCATGAACAATGCCATGCCGTCACACCGGTGTGATGTTCAGTACAGAGCAGTTCATCCAGCAGGTGTGTGTCCGTCTCCCTTTATTGACATGAACACACGCCAGCGCCACACTGTCAGTGAAGAGACTATTCTAGATCACTCGGTCTCAATACATGCGCATTAACACCGGCTGATGGACACCCAGCACTGTCAGTTTCAGGCCATGTGTATGTGTGTGTGTGTGACCTCTCTCTCTCTCTCTCTCTCTTGTGCTCGAGTGTCTCTCCAGCTGATTGTCTTGTATACCGGCTCCATATCAGAGGACACACACACACACACACACACACACACACACAGTGGATTATGTAATTCTGCTGTTGTCTGTTTGGATGGTGTGTGTCTTTGTGTTGTACGGTCTTCACATGGATTGCATCAGTTGTGTGTCTTTGCTTTTGTTCGTGTGTCTTTTGTCTGATAATGCTTTTTTTTTTTAAAACCATGAGATATTTCGTTCAGCTGTGTGTGTGTGTGTGTGTGTGTGTGTGTGTGTGTGTGTGTGTGTGTGTGTGTGTGTGTGTGTGTGTGTGTGTGTGTGTGTGTGTGTGTGTGTGTGTGTGTGTGTGTGTGTGTGTGTATTTGTTTCTGGGCTTCTGAATGAAGTAACACACACACACAGCTGAGGAACTGCTATTACTGATGCTGAGCAGACTGACCCCCTGATTAACAGAGCTGTATACGCGTGTAGAGGATGAATAAAGATGTTTCCTATGACGCTGTGCTGTCCTTTCCCTCTGTCTAAATGCTGATTCCATATGTTGAGCATTGACTCAATATCTACAGTTATCAGTGCTGTCAAACCATTAATCACATCCCAAATCACTGAATATAATCACTGCATATATATATACCAGATATTAGCTTCAGCTTTACTGTCATTACACATGTACAAGTACAAGACAGCGAAATGCAGTGCAGGTCTGAGCAGCAGCAGCAAGTGCAGGATATACAGGTATCAGATATAGACAAGCTGTGCTGACGGATGTACTGTGAACATTATATACAGCTTGTGTTAGTTATGAACAGAACTTTACAATAGATGAGTACAGGGCATCTGGGAAAGTACTGGAGGCGCTTCACTTCTTCCACAGTTCACAGTGCTGTTCAGAGACTGCTCACCTTTACTCTGTTAAAGCTCGTGTTTGTGATTGTTTTAGAACTTTAGCTTCAGATTCCTGTTGGAGAAATGACGAGGAGTAATAAA